AGCTCACATTTTTTAAACTCGAAAAAACAGACGAAAAGAATAAAAAATAAAATCTAAAAAAAATACCAGGTTGAAGAATATTAGTTGCTCCTTCGAATTTCGCCAAAGCCTTACCTACATTTTACCGATATCTGCAGAATAAATCAAGAAAACTACACAAATTGACTCCATTTAGGAATTCCTAACGGTAAGTCCGTACGCACGACACCGTTGGAGGCGTGGCCTGTTCAGCATTTGTCAACAACCAATCACAAGACTGGTTACGAACCAGTTGAGCAAGGCTAACCGAGTCGTGACCTCGATGTGGTTCGTAAATAAAACATACATGCACTGTTAACGTTGTTGCTGTGATATTCATTCATATATATATTGTCATTAACATCAGCTGAATGCCAAGGTCATTACTTCAGCGATATAATATCGTTATATATTCGGGGGGGGGGGATAAGCTGGTTACATATTTATTTAGTTAGTTATTTTTTTTATTCATTTATTTATTTATTTGTTCTCCACGTCACGTGTCGTGGCACTATTTACCTATAATTTGATGTGATCACATTTTAATCTAAAAAAGTCACTTTTTGGTAGTTATTCCAAATGTGGGACGGCGAAAGAAGTCGCTGTAATTGACTTCTTGACTGAAAAATAAACTTTACAATTAAACATAACATGACAATTCGATGTTTATCCGACAAATACAACTATGGGCAGTGAGGGCGCTGTGCTAATTTCCGTAAAAGATTTTGATATATGTTTTTGATCCATTATAGCTAGAACGGGGTTTATGAACATATTTTGAAATTCAGTCTATTATCATTTGGAGAGATAAAATTGTGTCATCTGATTAATTATCATTATTATTATTATTAACATTGCCCTTCAATTTTTTTCGATTCTTGAAATTCCATAGAATTCAATTGATATTCTATAAAATTCAATGGATACATATCAAGTGTATTGATGGAATTGTATCCGATTTTACATCAATGTACACTAAAACACCACGAAACGTGTCCTTACATTACTGAACAAAACAAGCCTACCTTTTTATAAAACATTGACTTCTGATGGGTGTCGGCATCCAAGCGCAAAAAAAACGCCACTTATCGAGGGCCGCAATTTATTAAGGACGGACAGACTGGACAACTTTTCATTTAACTGTCACCAGTCATTAGAGACAGACAAAGTTTTTCCGGTTGTACATTAAAAGCGCATTGCGAGTATTGAGCAATGGAAGGACACTTACTATTTGAACGATAACAATCAAGGAATGATCTGTATAGGTTTCATAGGCCAAACAATCAAGTAAATGTGTGCATGATGGAATAATAAGTCCGCACTACTAATATGTGGCACAATTATTTCATTCATCGCACGATAAATATGTTTTCCAGCTTTTTAAACGAACCCATAAGAGGCTATTTTGGTGGCCAACGAAATACGAACCAGTGTTTTGCAACACTATTCGCACTGGCTACCGGGTTGACACTCATGTTGATCAGGCAGTTTTCAATATATTGTTGTGTACAACTCTCATAAAAAGAATTTGAGAAAATGGCAAATTTATTTTTAGTACAACTGTCAAAAATTAAAATGACTCCTGTTTATGCACAATTTCTTGTCATTGAGGGCGCACTTCAGGAGATACAACTTAGCGAATGTTACAGTTTTATGATTTTCATTGTTCAAAACACTCAGAATTCGTCTTTAAAATCTGAAACTGTGTACCAGACTGGATTTTATTTTTCTAGCTGACGTGACTGTAAAAATGTATTCGTATGGCTTTAGTGACATTCATGTTTTTTATTTATTTCTTTAATCGTCATAAAATTGCAAAATCATTTTAATACGTTTTAAAATATACCTTTGTGTGAAGTTATATATGTAATATATCAATTTGGACAGTGGCATTAAGGTAGTGCATACTGTGAAGTAGTTTACTCAGTCTGTTTTTGAGCAATAATAACATTGTTGACAGGTGTATCATTTGAATCCACACACACCCAACTCTACTGAACTCTGTATTTACAAGTCCATGGCATAACAAAGTTAAGTCAATGAAAAATATTAATTCAATCATGTAAAATTATTACAAATTAAAATACTATAGTAAAAGTGTGATGGTAGCAATTATCCAATAACTACCTCCACTGTTAATTCAATCCTTCAGAATTGAAATCCGTCTCTGATTGTGATTAGTATCATAGTATGTTGACAAGAAAAGATATAGTGAGATGGCAACAATTTTCGACATTGTGAAATGCTTTCAGCCGATTTTGACAAGTGAATTCATAAATATATTAAGAATATCTCATAAACAATTGTATTCCATTTGCACACCAATGACAATTTTCATAATTATCTTTTGTCTTTGATAAAAAAAAAGAATATTTATAAATCATCAGTTTACATTAATAGTTGGACTGAATAATTAATTATGCAACACATGTAATCACGCAAACAAACATTGCTGGAAATACAGTGCTCTTCATTTTCTGG